GGAGGGCTTGGCAGCTCTTGGATGATCTTAGAGGACTTTTCCAACCTAAACAATTTTCTGATTATTCGCAGGCACACAGAGTGCTACTACAGTTCCTGGAAAAAAACAAGCTGCCATCTTACCCTCAATTCATCTGTGTGGCAGCTACAAAATAAATTAAAATTCCTCATTAACCAAGCCTCTTATGACTCTGTCTCCCCCGTGTTTGCACAATAGTGGAGAAAACTTTAATGTGGTCAGCAAAGCACTGATAAAAATAAAGGCCATCAAAATCTCAGACTCAAACACAGCCTGGGAGTATTGCAAGTTGATAACAAGATTTCTCTACTGAATATTGGGTGTTATTTCCAGTGCAAGCCGGAAACAGATCCTTCAGTGAGTTCATTCTCAGTTCCTCTGCTTTTAAAACTGTATTGCTGCTAATTTGCACTGGAATCACCTTTTCCTTCTGTAAAGCCCAGATATCAGTCTTGGCCTTTGGCTTTTGTAGCTGGTAACTGCAAACAAATCCAAATGTTCTTGTGTTTATGTTGGATATCATGAGGGAAAATATGGAATTTCATCTATCCTCCAGGAAGAACAAGAGATCAGTCAGGAAAAGGAAGGTGTCCTGAGTATAAAAAAAAAATAAAAAAGACAGTGATACAGCAAAAATATTCAAGAGTTCTGAAACTTAAACCCCAGATAAACCAGGGCTTGCTTCTGTGGGAGGTTTTATTTGTGCCCCTTTTACAGCGCAGGGATAAAACTGAGCCTTGTAATAAACCCAAGAACCTCAAACAATGAGAGAAAACTTGTGTTTTCAGTAGTGCAAGTAAGCAATATAATGAAATATTTGGCACAATCCACTGGTGTCCTGACAGGTGGCCCTGTTGTCCTTTAGGGGACAGTGAATCATCCATAACCATACATTTGTTTCTGGGGTTTTTCCAATGAATATTGCGTTTGCCTTTCAAATCTCTGAAGTTCTTCACAGGGTTTCTTACTGTGGTTAATTAGACAGTTTTTTCCCAGTCTGATGGAACATCCTTACTTTAGAACATTTCCTTTATCTGTTATTTATTAATGTCAAAAAAGAAAAAGGAAATGCATGTGTTTTGCTAAAGATTTTAGATGTTATAGAAACTGCTATAAATTTTCTGGTGTCCTTGCAGACAAGGACAATGAACAAATCCCCCAGTGCTCTTTAGCTGTTTTCTTTCTTTCTTTAAAAAATAGAAAAAGAACAAAACAAGCCATGAAAACAAACAGGTAGGTAAGGACTAAATGGCACTTGTTAGCAGGAATATTGGGGCTTGTGCAACCTTGAATTTAATCTCTAAGGAGCTGCAGATCACTGTTTTATTTTATTTGTTTTATAGCATCTATTTTGTGCTGACAAGAGCATGGAAATTTTATCTTTCCTGGAGAAACTTTTGCCCCTTTTCCCTGGAGTTCTTTAATGCTGCAGCCAGGCTTTAAGTTTGGCATATTTTAGGTGCAACATCCCAGGTTTTCTTTCTCTGCTCCAGAGCTTGGTTTGGTGCTTCAGTAGTAATCTAACTAATAGTTCTCTATAGAATCCTGAACCCCTGGAATGGTCTGGGCTGGGAGGGACCTTCAAGCCCCTCTTATTCCCCTTCCCTGCCATGGCAGGGACAGTTTCCACCAGCCCAGGGAAGGCACCTGGGCTCCCTCCATCCCGTTTGTCTCAGCCCACAGCTCTGGCAGAAGAGCTCACAGGCAGGTGCCCGGGATCAGCTGTGTGCCACAAGGAATAAATCCGGGGCTGTTTCCTACAGGACCCCCCAGCACAGCCCCATTCTCCTCCCCATTTGGGCTCCCTCCTGGTTTGCAGTCTGAATCCTTCCCCAGCTGGGGCCAGATCATTCCAGAGCCAGCATTCCCTTAGGTCACCCCCCTCCCCTGGCAGTTCACCCTTCACGGGAGGGGAAAAATCACACAGCTCCTTCCAGCCTCCCATCGTGGGGTTAAACAGAGCGAGTCCTTCCCAGCCCTGCTCCAAGCCCTGCTCCCAGCTCATTCCCACCCTCCAGCTGTGGGCTGACATCTACAGAGGTTTATTCCTTGGGATAAGGAATTTCCATGCCCTTTTTTGTGGATGGGTATTGTGCATGTCTCTGCCAAGCCAAATTTCTCTTCTTCCCTGTCCCCTTTGACAGAGCAGTCCCTGGAATTCCTGGCGGGATTCTCCACTCCCTGCATGTGCTACAAACAAAGTTTCCCTGTTCCCGTGGCTCTGGGCTTTCCAGCAGGTTTTCCCTGGGATAAACCAGCCTGGGCAGCAGCACAGACAGACAGACAGCACCCAGAGGATGAGCTCTGCTGGGGGTGGCTCTGTCCCCAGGGGTGGCAGAACAGCACCAAGGTCAGAGGCTGGACCTGTGCCAACGGGACAGAGCCAAAGGTGTGTCCAGGGTCTGCTCCAAATTTGCCTCTGCAAGAAAACTCCTTTCCTAGAAATTGAAAACTAGCTTCAGGGAGTCACCTGCCCTTGCTTTGTGCCCTCTCTGTGATGCAGCAAATGAGACATTTCAGATGACCTCGGGTGAAGTGTGCACCTGTGAATGTTCTGTTACTGGGGCACTGAGAGTCTGACAGGTCAGCCAGCTGAGCCTACAGAATGCAGCACACACTAAAGCTGACACCCACTGCTTTGGAAGGAAAGAAAACTGCTGAGACAGAGCAAGTGGAGAGATGGGATGCAGCACAGCTTGGAAAAGAATTCTAAACACAGTAGTATTTCTCTGCACTATTTGACTATGCCCAGATAAAAATTAAGTGATTGTTGTTCACTTGTCCGTACCGCGACAAGCAAATGGTAAGTGATAATTACATCAATAACAGAAATGAGAAAATGAGAAGGGAGTTCTGTCTCAGTCCCCTTTCTGTCTGATCTCTTGGAGCTCTCACCTCGCCCTTGCCACTGCAGGTCTGACCCCAAAGGAGACCCCAGGCTGCAGCACAGGGTCACAACAAAAGGACAGAAGAATGACAGAGCCCCAGCAGTTCCTCACTCGGGATTTTCCAGGGGTGGATTGGGTGGGAAGAGCCAGGCTTGGCCATTCCCTGCACCCAGCAGGGAATGCTCAGAGACATTCAGGTAACAGGAGAACGAACACCAGTGGAAAAGAACCCATTAAAACATGAGGTAGATTTTGAGGTTTCTGTATATTGTATTCTCTTCAGATTTCCAAAGCAAACAGGTACACGGCGACATTGATTCCAGTACAGGTTTAAGCACATGCAACACTGGTGTCCTATCTGTACATTGGTTTCTAAGGCTGCCCAAGGACCTTTACATTGAAAGCGTACAAGAACTCACACACACGTGCACGGATTCCTCCTGGCATCAGTCCTGAGGAAAAAAACAACTGGAATTTTATTGGAGAAACCAAACTTCAGCACTGCAAGCGCATCAGGGAAATCCCCCCCAGCTGTTCTGAACTGCTTCCTAACCTCAAAACTCACTTTTTTGTTTTTTTCACAATTTGGAGCTGAACAGGCTGTTGTTCATCAGGTTGTAGTGTCAGAAATGGTTCAAAACAGTCCAAGGTTTACAGTACTGGAGACAAAACCTATATTCCCATTAAAAACCATGCCGGATGCAAATGAAGTATCACATGGAGATGCTGACGTTCAAAACAGAAAACTGAGAAAACATAAGCACAGAGAGACCAGAAAACACATTAAAGACTTCTCATTCATGTATAATTTGTGTAATTATACAGTCAGCCTTTCTGTAAAATACTAAAGGCCTAAATACTCAGGCCAACCTAAATAACAACAATACAAAATTTTCTAAAACAGCTTCTTGTAGAAAGAATGACAGTAGTTGAAAGTAAATAAATAAATAAATAAATATTTTTAAAGGTCTGATATTGCTCTGAGACAGTGTCCATCAGGTTCCACTAGATGTCAGTGGCACAGAACCAGTTTGTGGCAGACTTCATGGCATCAAGTCCACTTGGTTTATTTATTTATCATCGTTACCTCGTCTGTGAAACACAGCCCATGTCAATTGTACCACCCACCCAGGATTTATGGCAGTGAACTGAACCCAAAATAACAGTCTCATCTCATTTCTTTTCCCCCTCTTGCTTGCCTGATTTGAATAGAAGACTTGAAATCAGGCTCACAATGCCAAAACTGTGGTGAGATAAGGTCTGAGTCACTGCAGCTCCTCAGCGTTTCCTAAAGCAGCGACACGGAGCTCACTCCGACCCCAGCACTCTCTGTTTGTCAGGTACTGAACACCTTGAAGATAAAGCTTTTTATGTGAAATACAGTGTAGCTGATCCAGGTGGAAAATTATAAGGCACGTACAATTTTTTTTGTTGTTTGTTTTTCTCTTTTTTTAAAAAAAACTACACATTCTGAAGCGTTGTTACAATCGTGCTACTCTGGGTGGCCCAGCCAAGGACAGAGGGGATGAAAATCCACGAAATGCAGGAAAATACAGGAAAAAAAAATACAGAAAAAAATACAGAAACCAAAGAATAAAGCAGAACACATTGATACAATGTACACAATGACAGCAATGATCAACTCTTCTCATTCCTTTGGCCAACAAGCAGTGACAATTGCAAAGCATTCTTTGTTTTGCACTGGAAATACCTGACTTTATTTGGATACACAGATGTTTGCCACAATACCTGAAATAAGTAAATTTAAAAAAAAAACCCAAACAGGCTGGTTCTAGTTTATGTTTTTAACAAAACAAAGCTGCCAAGTAATTGTTGTTGGGAAATCATGAGAGAAATAATAACTGGGGGCTACAAAAATGATGAGCTAGAACGACAGCTGAGAAGAGATTCGTAGTTAAGGAACATATGAAACCAAATGGCAACGGTTCTAGGCATTTATTCCAATATCTTAGAAAATAAAAATAAAAAATACTCTTCATTGCATCACCATTTAAAGACAGAAAAACAAATCTTTAACTCAAGCCAAAAGAAGATGAGGATTGTTTCCTCGTTTTTTGTTTTCTTTTTGTTTGGTTGTTTGTTTTTTTTTTTTTTTCCCCAATTTGCAGCCTTGTTTATTCACAGTACAAACAGAGCCCGCTGGTACAGATTTCAAAGTCACAAGATGCACAAAGTCGGACAAGGAGCTGTTCCCTCCTCCCCTCTGCACAGCTGCTCTGCCCCAGAGAAAACCCAGCCCCAGATGAAAATAAAATCCCTAAACCCCCACTTCTCAGTGCCTGTGAAATCGCAGAGCAGCAGCAGCACTGAAGCTCGGGACAAAGAACATTCCACACATTTAGGAATTCCACCTTAAGGCAAAAAAAAAAAAAAAAAAAAAAAATTAGGTAATGCGGTTTTCTACCTGTCCCCTTGAAAGTTTCCTGCTTTTCCAGATTTCAAGCATGACCCCTGAAATTCAGTAAATGAACAGAACAACATCAGGCATAAGGAATGCTTTAACAAAAAAAAAAAAAAAAAGGAATAAACAGGAAATGCTTTTCCCAACAATAAATCAATAAATTTCCCTTAGTTCTATCTACATTTTGTTAAAGCATTTTATGCATTTTCAATAACAAATTGCAAATATTTTTGGCAACTTTTTTTCTTTTTCTTTTTTAATAAAAATCCAGACAGTGTTCTCTGTTTGCAATCAGAACCACACCCTTAGTGCAATATTATATTTATTTCTTACAGTAATTTTGGTTGCCATACAAGAGTATTAAGGATTGGGGAAAAGTGCAAGTTACAGGAGCTTGATTTTTTTTTTTAATCAGTTGAAATAAGAGGAATTAAAGCACAAAAATTACAGCAACATAGATAACGTGAACACAAGTTGTTACACAAACTATAGCGAGAAACATATTAGTATCTAGAAAAGAAAAGAAAAAATGTAATGGAAAAATTATCAATATTTGTGGCTCATACACATAATCATCGCCAGATCAACTGGGTAATGCTTTCTAAGAACTGAGAGGAAAAGAAAAAAATATCACTATTTTTTTATTAACTTAAGTACCACAAATAATTAACTTCTTTGTGATATGTAAATTCTGTAAATCAACAGTCACATCTAGTCATTTTATAATATATGAATTAAACTTAAAATGTTCTCAGACACCTAGGGCAAGGAGTCTGTGCAGTTATACACAATTTACATCTTGTAAGATTTTGGTATTGTATACACAAATATTACAGAAACTAGGCATGTAAATGCAATTTATTTAAATTACAGTATATAAACAAAAGTTGATCCTAAAACCCAGAATATCATAGATCTCTAATGACTTTGTTTTTCACTATCAGAGTAGCATGAAAGAAATGGGTCTTCTCTCCTCCCCCCTGGTGAAAATACTCGGAGGCCAAGGCGTTATCTGTTACTATTGCTTTCTTTTTTTTTGTTTCAAACCACCCCTCAGAGCTGGAGACCGAACTCGACTTGGCAGAGGTGCATTCTGGTGCTCCAAGGAGGTCCCCTCAGGTCTCCTTACCTGTTTGCTTCACAGGACACAAGGTGAAAAATAAAACTATTCCCTTTCAGCTCTTTCATCTGCTCGTTTTCATACCTGCCCTTGGAGTACCTGAAGAGATGCCCGAGCAGGAGCCACACCTGTGTGAGGAAGGGACGGTCCCACCCGGAGTCACTGGGTGTGTCAGCCTTGCTCAGGGCAAGTTCAACCAACAGGAAGGTTGTGATCCAAAAAAAGCAGCTTTAAAAGTCAACTTCTAAGTTTTTGTTTTTTTTTCTTTTACTACTGTATTTATTTCCTAACGTGTTTCTGGCACGTGTTATAGAGGTAATAGCAACTGTACCCAAAGAAACAAACAAAGAAAAATTAAAAAACAAAAAAAGAGAGAGCATGGCATCAGTGGTTTATTTACTGAATTCTGTTGTATCACCAAATGGAAGACAAAAGATGGCTAAATTACCTTTTCTTTTTGTTTTTTTTTCTTTTTTTCACTTCTTAAAGTGTGTGATGGCCTCAAGTTGCCTGCATCGACCTATCTGAGTGGAACTGCCATTTTCTACACCTCCCATGGAAAAACTCAGCACTCCTCGACAGCAAAGCAGCCTCAGTGCTTTGTTTTTATGTCAAGGTTCCTTGGAACTCCCCAAATACAAACAGAGCGCAGTAACAGATGTTAAGTCAAAAGATTTGCTGTTCCATAAAGGGGGCAGGAGGCTTAAATAAGTTGATTTTTATGAGTTTCCAATGCGTTGGTAACTGTAACCACTTTTGAAGAAATATTCATCCTCCTCTGTAGAAGTTCTAGCAAAGATAGAAAATATAACACAGCTCTGCTGGTTCAGATGCATCCAAATGAGGTTGATTTTAAAAAGGTCAAGACTTTATAATTATTCCACAGAAATAGTAGTAAACCACAAAAAGTTTTTTTTCTTTTTTTTTTTTTGTTTGGTTTTTTTTTCTGTTTTTAACTTCCTAGCACTGAAGTGGCACAAAGGCTGCCCAGTAGACCAGCCACTTATTTTCTTAAAATATTGTGCTTATAAACTATCTGTACAACTATTTAAACTTGCAGTAAAGAAAGATATTTAAAATGCTAAACTTTATGTACTCATACTAGGGCTGTTGCAGACCTAATTAGACACTTGTTTGTGAGCAAAAAATAATCACAATAATAAAAAAATTAGAGATAGGCTGGACCATATCAAGGACCATATCAAGGAAAGAAAGTTCAGGTACCTTGCAAAATGTAAGGGAACCTGAAAGTTTGGTAGGGAGGCAGTTTAGCCATCCACACCCAATTTACCCACCTTGAACATCTTGAATATTCTGTCCAGAAAGTCCTACAAAACTCACAGATATTCAGAGGTGTTAATTACAAGGGGGAGTTCAAACATGCAGAGAGAGACTTGTTAACTTGAAAGTTGAAAAAAATAATAATAATAATTTTTTTTTAAAACAAAAAACAAAGCCGTGTAAAGCAGCCATGGGTGTTTCTCCCCTGCTAACAGAAGTCTCCCGGAAAGTTCTGTCTGCCCCGCTCCCAGCCCTGGATTCTGGCAGGGTGCTCGCACCTCTTGTGCCAAGGAATGGGCTGGGGGCCACTGCCAGGCCCTGGGTCCTTGTCCAGAGCCAGTTCCTGCCAGCAGTGACAAAAGGAGAGCCTGGATCCCTCCCCAGCCCTCGCACCCCGAGACACTCGACAGTTCTTTCCAGCTTGGCATCACCTCTCTGCCTCCTCTCAAGGATCTGAAGCATTTCCATCCTAACAGGCTGAAATCCCTCTCTCACTTCAGATCCTGGCACACTTCCCACTGACTTCAATGGGAACATTCATCTCTCTTCTCTTTCCTTCTCAGCCTGCTGTTCAAAATACCCAGGCACTTACCACTCACTGAATTAAGCAGCACCTCCCAGGGCTCAGCCTCTCTCAGTGTCTCACTGTCAAGTCCCAAAGCTGTGCCCAAAGTTTGTCCTGGCTCGTGGAGTTCATATTTTGACTCAGCATCAGCTGGGCTGGTTGAGAACTGGGAGGGGTCTCAGGTTCAAACTAGCTTCACTTTGCTGTACCTCTAAGTGTGGTCCCCCCTCAGCCTTTACTCAACGTCTGCACCATCCTACAGGCCACGTCAATGAAGCGTGCACTGCACTTGTTCTGCCACCTTGGAAGAGTGCTAAATACCACTGCAGAAATAAAGAAATACTAGGTAAAACAGAGCAAGGTTACCATTGGACTGACCCCAGCAGAACAACCAGCTTCACTGCCAACAGATCAGGGAGCTATGCCAGTAAAAAAAGAGGAATATGAACTCCTGTGCCTGCCTCAATATCCCTGCTACTGATAAAACTGGGTTTGAGTGGTAATGGAGCAACCTGTCCTCTTAAAATGAACCAAGGGCTGGGGAAGGCAGCCTGCTTTGAGACTGAATGTCAAGAAGAGAATAAAATAAAATGCCTTTTTTTTTTTCTGTCAATGAAAGAAACCCTGAAATGTTTGCCATTTTAAAAGAAAATCATCACGCCACGGTCCCGGCCAAGGGCAGTATTAAGAGTTCTAAAGTTAACAATTGTCTCTCTCTCACATCTCCCCACAGCTTTGAAATAAAATGGCCCCACTTCTTTAGCATCTTTAGGTTTGTGTTTGGGCATGTAGCAGACAGTCTACATCTCCTGAGTACCAGGAATTCATCTGTTTTCCCCCTCCCCCCCAATTTTGCTGGCACTCGCAGACAGACAAGGCATTTGGGGTATGTCAGTACCAGCCCATCTCTAGTTGTCAACAGAAGGTTGTGAGGCAAGATAGCTATTCTTATCTGTCCAGCAGCTGCTTCAAAGCTCTTTCTATGTTCATTCTGTGCCCAACTCTAGTCACTCCAAGGTCTATCAGATCTTCCTTCTGTAGATTTGGTAAATGTGTGCCATCTATTTCATTGTCCATAAACGTTTCTTTATGTTCACCTAAGTTTAGACTTTCCAACCAATCTGCCACATCTGGTTTAGTCCACAGGTGGACAGGCTTAGTTGTAAAAGGCTTATTTGAGATTGGCTGTTGTAATATGGAGGGAGAAGGAGACCTGCTGCGCCCTGTGGTCAAGCCAAATAAGTCCCCAGAAGGGGGCTGGCTGGGTAGGCTAAATACATCGGACAGAGTTGGAGAAGGAGATGAGGCTGAAGCAGAAGCAGTCAGAGGAGCAGGCAGGATGTCTTTATTGATCTCTGTTGGTGAAACCACAGGGCTGGGAGCGTGCCTCGCTCCTGAGGTCCTGCTGTCATAGTCTGGGGACCTGCTCTGCAGTGTGATCGGCTGGCTGGCTCCGGGTCGGACAGTGAAAGTGATTGTTGTACTTCGTGTACCTGAGACAGTACTCATGACTTCCGTGCTCCTGCAAGGGCAAACACACAGGCACAGTTAGAGCTGCTGGCCACAAGCATGGCCCACCAGCACGAGGTCATTACAGCATGGGAATCGTCGAGGAGTTTCACATTTTAACCAAAAGTACAAAAACAGTATCATTGACTCTTTCCCAGAAAACCAGCACTAATGGTAAGCCATTGTTAAGTTAAAGACAAATCATTTGCTTATGAGCAGTCCAGGAAAAAACACCTTCCAGAGCACACATTCTCTCCCTTTTTAATACCTGTTCCCAAATTAACTCCTGGTTAAATGAGAAGTGCTGAGTGGAACAAGCACATGAGCATTTTGTACTCTCAGCAAAGCACAACCAGGAGTCAACCTTCCCTTTGCTACATGGAGGGATGGAAACTTTCAGTTCTGGCTTTACAAACACTTGATATAGATACTTTCTACTAGATATAGATACCAAATACTAGATATAATACTTTCCTGTCTTGTAAATACAAGAAATTAAGGTTTTGTATTTACACCCATACACATAACATAGCCAATAGTAGTGGTGGAAAGTTTCAGGAGCACTGGATTTTGGATCTTTGGGCTTTCACTCAGTTAATTTTGCAGAATGTTTTTAATTTACAGAACAAGCTGCTCTTATTTCCCTTTCTATCCATGCTTTAAACATAAAAGAGCTCTTCTAAGGTGCCTAAAACATCTCAGTGTCTATTTCCTTCCACAGACAAATTACACTCTGGCAGCTTCACCACAAAATTAAAGAGACAAAAATCTTTTTCCTGTGCATGACTGGAGGTGCTGTAGCTGGGGTCAAGTTCTGCCTAAAGAAAATGAGTTTGAGATTAGGACTGAAGCAGGCATGAACCTCGCTGAGAGGCTCGCTCTGATGCCCAGCCTGGCAGGGTGGGTGAAGGAACACGACCCTCTGCTTCTGCCTGCTGGCTACAGAAGCAAATTTAGAAGGTTTGGGTCTGTTCATGTCATCAAAGGCTTGACCCCACAGCCCTTACTCCCATGGGAAGAGCCTGCTGGTCAGCATGCACACTTCAGGACGCTCCACAGAGCCCTTGCATGCCTGGAGCTCCAGGGTTCTTCACTTCAGAAACAACCTGCCAACTGGGAAAACCTTCAGACAACTAATTTAAAGCACTTGCAGACCAAAGGACGGGTTTATTTATCCTGGGAGCAATGCCATGGAGTCCAGAGGACCATGTGGCTGATGCTGTACTGAGATTTGCAGTGCAGACCCTGACAGAAGCCCTCTGTCTCTGAGTTCTGTTTTTGAGTGCCACACTGTCCCCAGGCCTGGCCTGTCCTGCCTGGGCAGGACTGAGGATGCCTTGGGTGCATGATGTCGGATGGAAATGCTCCCATTAATCCAGCACAGCATTAACTCTGCACTGCTGTGCAGAAAAGAACTCAAGGAGATGAAGGAAAAGCAGGGTAATGGCAACATGGGGCAGTGCTACAAATGGGTTATTAATCCCTGTCTCCCCCAGTGCAGCCCTGAGCTGGAGACAGCGATTCCCTGGCTGCTGCTGCCTATGGAGAGCCCTGAGAGTGTTCCCTGAGTCACCCCTGGGGCTCTGGCCCTTCACACCAGCCCAGAGCCCAGGGAGGTGCAGCTCTGCCACGCTCACAGCTCAGCAGGTCCCCTTCAAATAAAGCTCCCTGTCATGAGGAGAGCGCTGAGAATCACTTTTGGGAGAGCCCACATCTAATTCACACCAACATTCCCACTGATTTCCCACAGGCTGCTCCATGGATTTCAATGGGAACAGGGGGATCTCTTTGGAAGATTGGTACTTCACTTAAAACCCAGTAGGAGCCATGCTTCCAGCACTTATGGCTTTGTAATTTAACACAGAAAGGAAACACTTGGCAAGGTTTTGAGTGTTCCCTGTGATGTTTTTGGCACCTAATGGCTCTCATTGTCTTCCAAGGCTGGAGCTAAGCATTCTTATAAATAAAAAGTCTGTGGCAAGAGACTATTAAATTCTACTAACCAAGGGGAACAAGTTATTTCCACCTCCTTTACCTCAGCATTAGGAGTCTCCCACTCATTACTAAGGCATGATATAATTTAAAACCAAAAAGGCCTTCTTTGAGAAAGATTGGGGTAGTGCTATCCTAGTGATGGCAAGAATGAGTTTTGTATAAATAGGGAAATGAATCCCTGATCTTTACCTGCAATCACCCTTCTACTTAACTTTCCTGTCTTGCAAATACTAGAAATTAGGGTTTTGTATTTGCACCCATTGTGGCAGGATCAAATGGATGATGAAAATACAGCTTCTTTTATTCCAGATGATGAAAGATAATTTTTACTGCTTGACTGACAGCTCCAGGCTCAGTGCTTTGCAACTCACTTTTGCTGCTTCTCCTTCAGACTGCTCCTCTTAAAGACTCCCTGCCCAGTCTTGCTCAGGAAATTAAATAAAGGATGTTAAGACAGAAGAAACAAACCCCCCAGAAGTAAACTCTGTGCTCTCATTTGAAGTATTCCTTGGCTGGTGTTCCGTAATTTTCTCAGCCCCATGGGCAGGAATACCCAGGGTGAGCAAAGCATCCCAGGCATCCTGGTCCTTTGCTTCCTGTCAGCCTGGATCAAAGCATTGGCCTCACACAGCTGCAAGCAGCAGCAGGAGAACTGAGAGCATCTTGCTTTTTCCAAGCCAGAGGTTCAGGGCTGATGATTATTAAAACAAAACTCTGAGATAGTGATGAGATTTTTTTAGCTGATTGCAGATGTTTCAACACCAACTCTGACTCAGTTCAGAGCCATGCGAGTGCTCAGATCTCATGGCATGGGCACAGCCCTGGTGGAGCTCAGGGAAGTCTGCCAGGCTTTCAGTTCCATGCCTTTCACTCCAAGATTACTTTCCCATGTTCTTTTCCCCCTTTTCTACCTGCCCTATCAACTCCACTCTTTTGTGCTGCTCTGTAATTGTAATCCAAGGGAAAAAAAAACAACAAACCCAAGTATATTTATGTAACTCCTATGCATCCTAAATTATTATTTATGACATCTCCCATGTGATCTGGGGTGCAGACACATCCTTGAAACCATCATCTGTCTTGCGTTTTATGGTTGGTTGGCAGCCTGGTCAATAAGGAGGGAGCAGGTTCCAGCTGGAGAGCAGGCAGGGTTTGTTTTGTTACAGGGTTTCTGGATCTTTAATCATTTTTAATCATAATTTCTTATGCCTTATTTGATCATCTGTTATCCTAAACATGTCAAATCCATATTAAACCTGACAAACCCCAAACTTCATTTAAAAAAAAGATGAAAAGTCAGATAATTATTTTAAATAAATGTTGCTCTGTTAGAATCAGCATATGGTGGTAATTCATAAACATTTGCTGCTGTGAGCCTGCACTGATTGCAGTGCCCATTATGTTGCTTCATATTAAAATCAAAATATATAACCTATATGTCACAACCACATGGCCTCCAAGTATAAAAGCCATCAGCACAGCTTGTAGCCAAAAAAAATTCTTTTAAATTTTAAATTATATTTGCAAGATTCAAATTTACTGTTAACTTAATACCAGAGGCAAATCAGTGCAGCAGCTCCCATGGAAAAATAAAAACCCGATATGATTCTCAGCTCCTGGGAGCTGTTTTAGCCTAGAACTTCCCAGAAGACTTGCTGGTTCTGACACAGCTTTTCCATTGTATCAAAGGAAAACACCTTAAAAACCAAGAGGAGTAATAAGTGAAGTCACTGTATAGGGGTGCTGCTGCAAGAAATTAAATTCTTATAGATCTTAGAGGATGCACAAATCCCAGAATTTGCCTTCACCTCTTAAATTTTTACTTGTTGTCAGAGGCAATATGCATGGCAGGAAAGTGAGGGAAGAATTGTGTGTTTTGGGGGCAGGTGAAGAGCAAGGGCTGACGTGCTGACTGGCAGGATGCAGAGCTCCTCACAAGGGCGTTATTTCATTCTGGGGAGAAGAATGGAGAGCTGCTCGCTGTCTGCTGCCAGTGAGGCACAGTCAGGGAGGTCTGTGGGAGTCTGTCTGTGCAGGAGCAGGAGCTTCCATGTGAAATGTCTGGAAAGCAGCAGGAAGGGGATGGTGCCAGGCCAGCAGGCAGCCTCAGCCCTCTCTGCTTGGATAACTGCAGGGGAAAGGGAAGCTGGAAGAACAGCAGGAATTCCACAGCTTTCGAGGACAAGACGACTACACAGGTTGGTTTGTCTTTACTTTTGGCCTCACACAGGTGTGTAAAACTGTATTAATCATCCCTCCCCACCCCTCCACCTCCCAAAATCTGGCAGAATCTGGCCATATCTGAAAAGTCCTGCCCCTTGTTTAGGTGCTCAGACACATTCAGGAATCTGGTCTTATGTGCTCATGTTACCAACACATTTTCTGAGAACTCCTCTGATGAGTGTGGCTTTTATTTCACCTTGAGATGACATCCTAGGTCCCATTTTAGGATGGCTACCATTTCTGGATTAGGATGATCTAATCCACACTGCACTGTGAGAAACACAGTCACCACCAAAGTCACTGAAATGCAATAACAATGGGTGAGCATCAGAAAGCAGCAGAATGTACAACACAGAATAGTCCATGCTTTATGGTTGGCACTTACTTCATGGCACTTCAGCATGGCCCTCCTCTGACAACAGCAGTCATGACAGCAAATAAAAATGACAAAATGGAATGACTGAAACACTGCAGAAATCACTGACAAAGCAAGCAATCCTGTGAAATTGGCTGGCAAACAGTTAACGATGTGAAATGAGTCTAATGGGAGAGCAGCAAGTGAAAAATCAAGGCCCTTTATGTCATCCTCTGCCAAACCCAGACATCCTTTACCATAAAACCAAACACAGGACCACTCTCTGTAAAGGACTCACCACTAAGTTCTGCTCTGCCTTACCTGCTTGCGGAAAAATAAAAGGAACTTCTTCAAATATTCATGAAAAAAACTAATTAATTGATGGCCAAAATCACTGGCCAGTTTCACTTTAAAAACTTGTTATCCCAGCACAGTGTAGGTTTATCTTCCTAGAGGACTCAATTCCACAGCATCCTCCATAACTCCCACATTTATCATGAGTATTTCCCACCACCAGCAGTCATGCCAACGTGCCCCAGAGGCTACGGGATTGTGCAAACACAGCTGGACAAAGACAGAAAAACTGCGTTTCTCCCTCTGGCCAAGCCATGGATCATTTTGGTGTGGTGCTGGTGGAGAGCAGAGGAGCTGCTGTTCCTTACCCCTTATCAGTGCTCCAGAGGCACGAGGGAGGGAGGATGCTGTGTTCCCTGGGGCTGAGCTGTGTGACCCTGGCAGCCCCCAGGTTTATCCTGCCTCAGGCCCTGCTCTGAAAGTGAAAGCCCTGCTCTGCTTCTTTCATCATCTGCCCTGTTCTTTCATCAGCTCCTTATAAAAGCCAGGAGCCTCTCAAGTGGATTTATAGCACTGCTGCATTTATTGTGGTTGACATGTCCTGTCCTCCTAGCCTGCAGGAGGACATGGATAAACCAGATTAAAACCTCTGTCACCACAACTGATGGCCATAATTCCTCAAAGTAAACGGTGGCCAAAACTGGGAGTGGGATCTGGAGCTCTCTTCCTGAACCTTGTGATCAAACCTTTAAATTACACTTCAGTTAGTACAAAGTAAGCAAGGGCATCCTCTCACTTCTTCCTCTTTTCCCTTCTCCTGCTGAGCTCCTCTTTCCTATCCCACAGGCTGGCCACTACCACTGAGGATGGAGGAGCAGATGGTTTCCAGCCAAGCATTTCCACGCTCTATTTAAAAATCTTGAAGCTCGGTGTCTCCATAAGAACCATGGGAAAACTATAAATACACCATGGAAAATGATTGATAAACCAAGAAGCAGAGAATAAAAGCAAGTTTAGGGTGGTTTCAACGTAATAATTCAGAAATGCTGTTCAGGACCATAGAATGATTTCTCCCTAATCCCCATTTATCAAAAAAACACAAAGAAGGTGTTTTTATGGGGTTACTGCAGCCAGTCATTACCCCACTGTCTGTAGTTTAATTCACCCCTGTGCCACCCTAACAGGGCAATTGCCTTCAATGAATCCCAGTTTTGCATCTACTGGCTGTGCAAAGAGAATTCCTAGTGGGATTTAGGATTCCAACCTGGCCCATAATTCCATGTATGGCCCCATAAGCAGATACATATTTTTAATTTCATCAGGCTGCCTGTGCTGTGAACACCGCCCAAGCGAGCCTGTGAATGCTGTTCCTATTTATAATCCTTCCCAATCCTTCTCCTTGGCTGAAGGATAGGAACAGGCCCACTTATTATCACTGCTCTCTTTGCAGAGCTAACAAGTTGTTCTTTAATTTAGCAGAATCCCTGATTTTTATGAGCCAAAATTCCTTGGTCCCTTTCTAATGCTACCTCACAGGGAGGGGCTGCAAGATCAACAATTGGTTGTCATAAGCTTTAGAGTATTAGGAGGACAAAAATACCAAGGAACTCCAGGAATTTTACCTGTGAAATTTAAACATTAGCTTTTACACTTGAAATTTTCACAAGGTGGTATTCCTTGGTCATAATATTTGACAGCTTTGTAAAAAAACTGTGTCAGTCGTGCAGTTGGGCTAGAAAGGCTGTAATTTATTTAACTTTTAGAGAGATAAAGCTGGAGTAAAAGCAGTGAAAAAAACCCAATGGGCTTCTGATTCCACAAGTGAACATCTCCACTTCCATCTCTCTGCCTTACCCTGGTTGAGATGATAAGACTCTGCCTGCAGCACCTTTTCAAACACACTTCCTGAATCTGTAGATTGCTGGCTCTCTTCTGCTGTCTCCTGGATTATTATTTGCTTAAAAAATAAATCCTTTCCTGGTGGCTTTAGCAGCTTCAATCCAGCTCATAATTAAGAAGCAATCACATCAGTGTGGAAAATGGCAGGAAACAGAACCCAGCCCTCTTGTCTCCTGCTCCCACTGGGAATGCTGTGGAGGTGTCATTTTCTCCCACAGCCAAAGGACAGCCAAGAGTTTTGCTGCTCTTTGCCACTGCCATCTCATCCCATTTATGCCCTCATTGCTCTTTGGGCTCTGCTACATCTCAGATCCTCTCTCCAGCTTGCAAAGGTCAGTGTTTGTGTTTACTTTTCAGGGAAGAAGCAGGATTTCAGCCCCACTGAAATAATGCTTTGGGTGGGGTTCCCCCACCACAGTTGAGCCTCTATATTCCATAATGAAGATGCAGTAATTTGCCAAAGCTGAGTTTGAAAAATTAAAAAACCTCAAGGGCAGAAAAAAACCCAACATAAATTGGTAACACTAAGTCAGCTCTTCCTCTAAAAGGTAACATATGGGGCTACTTCTGCTTACATAACAGTTTGCTTTTCTCTAGTGAAGTGCTATAGTTTTTCAAGTTTTCCCCACCCTTTATACCTTTAGAAATGTATTTTCACAGAAAAAAAAATTTCAATTTACTTCTACTTTTCATTTTGCTCTCAGTAATGAGAGTTCTTTTACATATTTACAGTGCATTGTAGTCCGTAGCCTTGGTTATTTTCTAATAAAATAGGGATGCTAAAGACCTCCACTGGAAATATCTGGAAATACCTTTCAGTTTAAAAATAAAAGCTGATAAATAATGTTATACACATGAAGCTACAGACAACATGTTCATGGGGCTTAACAAGAAACATGATCAGCATCTAGCAAAAATAATGTGGTTTTTCTTCATGTCTGAAGGCTTTTCCTGCAGACCCAACTCAATTTCTTCTCTGTTTAGTCAAGTGCCACTGAGAGGAATTCCAAAATGTCTGGGTTTTATTCCCATTTCTCAATTCTAAAAATTGAATTCCCTCACTGTCACCAGTTTGATGACTTCCATCCTGCAGGAAATAATATCTAACTGTGTGATGCCAAGGCTGTGGATCACACTGTTTTCTGAATGAGCAATCTTTGCAATCAGCAGAGACACCTTCCCTTAAAAACAAATTATCTTCATGCTTGCAAAGTACATCAGCTTTCCAAAGCTGATGCTATTTATTAACCACCAGAAGAATTCTAATAACATTTACTTAGGTGGCACGTTTTTAAAAAAATCTAAGCCAGCATGGTGGTTTTGCAAGAAGAAATACCTCAGTCTCCTAATGAAACATACAAAATTAGCTTTCTATTTTTAATAATTGTGGATTTCAGGATATTATGTCCACATTCCATACAGATGTGGTTTAGTAATAACATGGACAGTGCAAAGTGATTTTGAATGAGCAATTCTCTGAAATACTTTATGATTAAGTAGATTAGGAGAGGTGTCTCAGTATGAATCAAATGAGACCACACAGTGAATGCAAAGCAACCCTTGGCAAAAACACTTTTTACCTGTTTGAAGCCAAAACACCTCATAGGACTGAGGAAAAATTAAATTATCACCCCATTTTAAAAGGGAAGAAACTAAAGAGAAAAAAAATTGAAGAGAGAAAAAAAAAATTAAAGAGAAATCTAAGAAATTCACATCAAAACAACAGAAAGATATGTGCAAACCTTGAAGTTGAAGGCTGAGAAAGCTCTTGTCCTACCATGTAGGCAACACAAATGTTGACAGTGTAAGAAATTCTTGTTTGACACAGATTATTCGTTAAGCAAATACAGAGTACACTCTTCTTTTATCTATGTGATTTACAGGAGAAGTTAGCAAAGAGATGGCAAAAAAAAAAAAGACAAATAAAAAGATCAAGCCTTTTTGGAAAATGATTTGGTTAATTACTTTTACCTTGTACTGAGACTCGCAGTTTTCGTTCCAGTTGGCGACTCCAATCCCTCCCCTGGCTTTGAGGATTTCTCTCTGTTCATTTGCTGGAGTATTGAGTTCAATTCACTAATGACATTAGCCTTGGGGCCTGAGAGAATCGGGCTTTTCACCTCCGGCACGTCCCCCCAAAGCTTGGATGTCCTTTGGGGAACAGCTTTCGCCAGGTTGGGCTGGGCACTGATGGGAGGCGGGGGCGGAGCGGGAGGAGGGATCACAAAGCTGTCTACAGTTTCCTCAATCAGCGCGTCCTTGTAAAGTGCATTGCTTTTGTTGATTATGGGCTTCATTTTTGGCTTAGGAGGTACTGGGGGTTTGTCCACCAGAAATGTTTGCCCATCTGCATAGACTGTACAAGTATCCACGTTCTCCCCCCCTTCCGAGGATAAGGTAGAGATGCTGGACACCGTTGAGATAGTGCTGGTTGTCTCTAGGTGATGGTCACTGCTGCTCCGACTGTCGACCTCCTCGATGCCAGAGTCGGCGACGTTGTCGAAGCTGTCGGGGGGTGGCAGGAAGGATGCAGGCAAACAGTTTGAGAGACCCGCTTGCTTTTTGCTGTCCAAGGAGTTTGCTGGCTGACTGGGTGAAGGGGTGCCGTTCTTCCTCTGCGCCATCAGGTCTGTCAGCGCCGAGCCGGGCACCGCGCGGTCGTCGGGGATGTCGAAGCTGTTGGCAAACTCCAAGGGAGGGGGCAGCGGCTCAGTGAACAGGAACTCCTCGTCGATGTCCACCGAGGCCAGGGGCGGCGGGGGGATGCGGAAAGGCAGGATGACAGGGTCGTCCACAGAGCTGGCAGCCACGATGGTTTTGCAGGGAGAAGCTGGGGCCTCGGGCGCAGCAGGGACACTCAGCTCGCTCTCCGCTTCCTCGCTGCCCTCCGGCCTCTCTGGTGGGGAGTTCTCAGGGCTTGGCTCCATCTCAGCTCCCTTCTCCTCCTCATCCTCGGGCATATCATCTGACTTTGCCGTATCCACTGTGTGCACCATCAGCAAGCCAGCTGATTTTTGCTGCGAGGTATCCACAATGTTTATCAACATGTTCTTCTTCTCCTCAGCTTTCTTTTCTTTCCCTGCATCCATCTCGTACTTGTTCTCAGTCTCCTGCCGTCTCAACAGGCCGCGGGTATTTTGCCTGGTGACAGTGGCAGTAACAGGAAAAGTCGTTTCCATGTTGGGTCTCAGCTTGGTGTCGATGTAAAGCGGTTTGTTAAGGTCAGTTTTGACTGCGTCCCCTTTGCCTGGAATCTGCTGTGTCTGCTCTTTCATGGCTCTGTCCCTGGCAGAGAGTGCGAGGGCAAGTGGAGAGTTTGGATCCAACAGCTTCCCTGTGACCGGGTGGACGTAGCTATCCGAGCTGGGAGCACTCGTGGGCTTGGCTGCCCCCATGCTGTTGTCAGTGCCTTTCGTTTTGGACGGAGCGTTCAATGTCCTTGAGTCGCTCTGGCTGCTGGGCTCGCTGCTGTTAAAAAGATTTTCGGGGGGCTCCCTGGGGGTGGGGATCGGAGATGGCGACATGAGCTGTCTGAAACCATCCTCGCCGCTGAACATCGCCTCCTCGGTGAACTTGGACTGCCTCATCCGTGGTGTCGGTGGGGTCAATCCAACGTCCTCGTCTCCCAGGTCTGTGGAGAGGAAGGCCGGGGAATTGCGCCTCGCCTCCAGCCTCTTTTCCCTGTCCCTCACGGCCCCTGCGATGGCTGCTGCGAACGGGCTGCTGACTCCCAGGCTGTCGTCAGGCCGGAGCTGTCCGGGCTGCTCCGAAGACTGGGGATCGATCTCCATGCTGCTCCCTTGGCTGCTTTTCCCACTGCTGCTGGTGGATGGCTCTTTGACGATGATGGTTGGGATTGGAATAGAGCAGGTCTTTTCTGGACTGTCCTCCACGTTGGATTGTTTCACCAGCATCCCCTTCCTCCTGGCTGGCTTGGCCGGCACGTAAACGGCTTTGCTGGCGATCTTCCCGACCTCAGAATAGGGGTTTTCCGGCATCTGGCCCCTCTTGCTCCTGAAATTGGCCTGAGCTGCGGCACTCCGATTGTACAGGTCTTCCGAGTCCAGGGAGTACCGGTCCAGCTCCCGCCGGTAATAGATCCCTTTGTCCCTGATCATCGTCCCCACGCTCTCGGGCCGAACCAAAGAGATTTTTGCACCTGAATTCTGGTTAAATGGAGGTTTGATCGTTCCGTAGCTCCGGGAGGTCAGGGATTTGGGGGAGTTGTACAGAGAGGGGGAAGGTGGCGGTGGTGAGGGAGGTAAGGACTGTGGTGGCGGTGGGATATCTTCAGAGGTGTCAGGCATGGAAAGACTCCTGGTAAACTTCAGCATAGGAGGGGCCAGAAACTGCCGCTCTTCCTCCGTTATTCCTGAAAAATCAGAGAGTGCTTTTAAAACACTGCCACATCCACCAGGATCCCTCACAATTTCTCCATCCAACCCAAAATTCCAGGGTGCATTCCCCATGGAATGGGGAGTATGCAAAATTCCAAAAGAGGCCTTTAGGTTGATTCCCATCATAATCATTCTTTCCTTTTGGACATCCCAGGTGCCAGGATTGAAAGGGATGTTATGGAATTTTAATTAAACTGATGCATAAGCAAATGTTTGGGGTTTTTGTATCATTAAGGTGGCTGTAGAAAAGCACATTTTCTTTGAAAACTATTGAACAGGGAAGATATTCTGTGCAGAGGAGCTGCTTCTGCCTTGCTCCAGTACTCTACAATGCATATAATAGAACAACTCAGAAACTTAATGAATTTTTAAATGCAATTGAAATTTAGCAAGGGGACTGTGAAGATCCTATTGGGAAAAATCCCCATCATGTTGCATTTCCAAAGATGACATTATATGGCTTTTAACATAAATAAACTGGGTAATACTGGGATAGTTTGGATGCTAATTTTACATCAGCATAATGCATTTCTAAATTGATAAAAGTCACTGCTAAAATTACTAACAAGAACAAAGAAAGCCAAATTTGGTCTGCTCTTTGTTTCTTTGTTGGAAAAACATCTATTGCCATCATTTCACATGAAAGAAAAGGTGAATTTTAGTCCATTTGATCAACAGGATGTCTTTGTAAACTACACAGCATTACAATGCTTTCACCTCAATAACAAGGGGAAAAAAGGATCATATTTTGCCCTAACATTTTGCAAAAGGCTTGTATTGATCTCTCTTTTTTTGTCCTTGTTAGAGGGAACATTCTAAAGAAAATAACCAAATTATAATTCCATACTTGCCAAATGTGGAAATCACATCACCTTACACACAAACTTCCTTTCTCATGAGCTTTGTATAAAGATTAAACAGCAACTCACTGGGGTAAAGATGTTGGTGGAACACACTTTAGGAAAGAACCAAAGTTACTAAAAGTATGCCATTAATGAATAAAACCATACAAGAGAGGCATTTTACCTATAGATTTTTGTCTTCTCATTGTACCCCGAGGTATACCCAGAAAAGGACCTTGAGGGCTCCCTGGGACAGTAGGTGTCATCACAGCAATACCCTGTCTCTCATACATGGACTACAAAAGAGCAAACAGAAACCCCAACAGCATTAAAGCACGAAAGTCTCTCCCATGTAGGAATAATGCCTCACCCATTACCACTTTCACTGAGAATTCTTATGGAAAAGAATGAATCTGGGGTTATTTCTGGGGAGGAGGTAGAAGGAAAGGGAAGGCTGGGCGTTGTTTAGACACTCATGAAAGGACAGCAGCTGTAAGTGGAGTGTGTTATATTATTTACAAGGCAACAGCTTAAGGTGGGTTATGGAAAAGTATGTCCAAAATGAAACAAAACCATATTTTAATTTTTTTTTACCTGCAAAGTTTTGAAATATTAAATTCTGCACTTGAATGATGAAATTTCAGAGTTCTGGCATTTAATTTTTATTACGTCCTATAGTATTAATGTCAATTATTCAATTACAAAGCATTGGGCATTATTTAATCAAGGAATTAGATACATAAGTAGGAATAAAGCAGTGCTTCGTGGCTCCCACTCACATTCATATCTGAAGGAAAACATCTACTAGAAGGCCGCTGTTTTATAGTTGCCACTCTGGAGTCCACAGTTGCATTGTCTGCAATTCTTGATGGCTTGGAAACTGGCACTATTTCATCCACCTTATCTGTAATATAAAAGCATTCAGTAAAATAAATATCACTTGTTCAAAGAACTGGAAAAGTTAAGTATTGCAAGGTCAAAGGAAGAGATTTACTTTTCAAAAAAATGCAAAGAAAAAGTTTTTTTGGCATTTTAACAAGGCAACGCTTGAGCATCATAAGTCGTGCAAGCCGAGCACTTTTTATTGCTGCTACATAACATGCATGCTTTAGTTTTAAGCCTGCATGCATTTAATGTTTACTTAGTGTGACTCGAAAAACAATCCTCTTCTTCAAACCTTCAAAATGTGAAGGGAGAATATCTATATAGAAATGGAAAGAAGACCTTTAGAAATAGTGAATCCGTAGAGCACTGTTTCAAATAGAGATAAGCAGACTGTACTTAGTCATCAGAATTTTCAGTGGTATTTTGGACAATAACAAGTACTCCAGAAGTGCTCTTTCATGCCTATGCTCCTTAAATAATAACATCCTGATTTGTTCACACTCTTGGACTTGTAGGCTAGCACTGCTAACTGAATCCTTTGTTTAAATGAAACTTTTATATGCATTTCTGTTGGTTTGGTTTTTTAAAAATTTCTTTTAATAACTGGACAGTTTGGGAATGCATTTAGTCATGGTCAGAAGTAGACCGAAAATAGGCAAAGTCCAAATCTGAATGAGAACTTCAACATTTGGATTTGGGACTCTGATCTACTGAATGATGTGATGGTAAAATACAGGGATAAGTTTAATCAGGATATTCCAAAGCTGAGTGCTGGTGTTAGCCCCGTCTCCAACTCTGGTCACAAACAAGGTTCATCAGCATTAAATACAAAATGCTACTCCCTCACATGGAAGACCTTGAAGTACAGTATAATCCACTAATTATTGCCTGACAGCTCCTTTGTTCTCCACTTCTACTGCTATGAAACCAAGGCACAAAGAAATTAAATCACTAGCCCAAGCCACCAGGAGAGTTTGAGTTTGGAATCTCTACTAGAATCCAAACTGGAATCACACCAACACCTTTCCTTGCTACACCTTCCACTGCATTTGCTTGCCTGCATCATGTTAATTTAGTGTCTTTTCCTTTGAAGTTTCACCAAAACTAGGATTAGTTTCATAGCCTGTGGCATTTCTGTGAGTGGAACACCTCAGCCTGGCTCCTAGGCTTCCACAACACGAGTCAGAGCAATGCTACTTTTCAGCAATTAGCTCCATCTCCCAGATAATTGATTATTTGTCAAACAAGGATAGTTACTTCATTAGGATACTGCAGACTTGAAAAATCCCCAGGGTTTTGGTGATCTAGAGCTGATGTTACTACTCCAAGTATTGTATTTAGGGATTTAAATTTTACCTCTCGCTGGAGAGCAGCACACTCAGAACCCTGGATATTGATATGGATGGGAATAAGGCAGAAGGAAAAGAGCTTTTGATCCCTCTAAACAGTAGATCTGGCTGATGCAAGGATGATATTTTAAACAGGAGAAGAAGAGAGGGAAGAACTTTTAGCCTTCGGGTTAGGAAGAAGGTTGTCCTAGAAGTGGGTATTTCAGTGTCACAGGGGGTCAGGGAGCAGGCAGGAAAGGAAAGGCTGAGCAGCACCAGTAGGCTGAACACTGCTGAGAACTGTCTCGCAAGAGTAGTGTTGCTGTTTCTTTTCAACTGAAGTTAGCATTCAAGTCCTTTCATTGGTCTGCTTTCTTTTTCTTTTTTTTCTTTTTTTTTCTTTTTTTTTCTTTCTTTTTTTTTTTGTGGGGTTTAAATCATCCAGTGGAAGGAGAAAAGGAAAAAAATACTTAAAATTGTCACATGTATTTAAAAATAAAAAACCAAGTTTGTATCACATTTCATAAGGCTTTTCATAAGGGGATCTATCACCAAGAGCTTCAACTGGGCAGAGATTTCCTCTTAAGGCTCTCCCACCCTTGTTCTCATCCCAGAAGCCAAACAACTAATCTTTGGGATACAGAAAGAAGGAAGCCTTGGAAACTGAAGCATTCAAAATCTGCACATGAGAAATAGAAATACACCATGTAAGAAGTGATCCCCTTTATTTTGAACAGACACATGTAGCCAGATACCCATTCAGACAACAAAAAGCTACAGGGAAAAAGTGATGAGGCCATGACAGACACTTGGAAAAGCATGAAAATTTTTGTTGGGGATGAAACATACATACCCTCCAACTGCACTGATTTTGCTAGACAATCCTAGAAGTCAGATCCTAATTTTGGATCTGACCAAAATATCAGTTGGTACCCATTCTTAAAACCATGAGGGAAAAAATAACCCTGTTTTTTTTTGTGAGTTTATTGCAGGTTTCTTGTATGTAGAGAGGTTTCAGTCCTTCTCACCCTATGGCTGCTCCCATTTGCCACATTTAGCCAAAGCATCCAGAAATGGGAGAGGAGAGTGGGTTAAAGCTTGAGCTGCTTTGCAAGGAACCCTTTAGGGCTTCCTCGTGTGGCACTTCCAACGGCAGCACTGCACAGCTTTCTCTTGCTCTACTGCCTTTGGACCAGAAAGCAAAGGTAGAGTGGAACTCGTCATTTTGGAGCTACTACAACAAAAAATGTGAGGCTACAGAAGCAGCCAGCACATGGAGACTGATCCTAAATGGTGGCAGCTACATGGCGGGTCCTGTGGGAAACGTCAAAATCTGAACGCCTGGCCACAACTGCCCAATCCTGCTGGAGTGAAAGCACGACATGAAACAAAAACATCCTCACTGCCCTCTCAAACGTGCTCTTCAGGCCAAGGAAATGGACTGGCTGAACCACAGCTAGTCTCACTCAGACTCACCCCAGAGAAAGAAGACGTGGTGGGCCAAACCTCCACTTGCCTGTGCCTCGAGCTGTTTGTCTCCACAGCACCAGAGAGCAAACCCCTCCTGCATCCGAACCACACATTCCAAATATACTCCTACTGGAATAATTTGTCAGGCTCACTAATTAGCTCTCCTCCCAGTCTCCTTGTGAGCTCAAATACTCTACAGCATGCATTTCTCATACCAACAAGAGGGGAGGCTCACAAGCTCGTGTTGGAAATTCTCTGAGGATAACTTTACAAATAACCCTGACAAAAGAGAGAGAAGAAAGTCACAAAATGGATGCAAAAATTGGCACCTGCTGTGAGGTGTGTAGACAGTGTGGCCCAAAGAAGCCTGCCTCCAACGGGATTTTTTAAAGGAATGCAGCTGGATGAAGGTCAAAAGGAGGGAGTGTGGGAAAAGCCTGCACTGGAGGTTGGCCATGCAAGCTGCATTTCCTCCTTGAACCAGTTGTTAAGCAGAGTACAGCCACAAGCACACACGCACACACACTTTACAGGAGAAGTTTGTGGCTGGCTGGTAGAGTAACAAACTCTGATCTGCTTTGCCCTGAATAACCTCTGCCTCACTGGAAGACAGAGAAGAAGAGTCTATGTCTCACTGGTCAAAGAGCATGGCTCGGTTGTAGTCACAGAAGAGGATTTTTAAGCCTACGATTATTCCCTGGCATTTTCCATAGAAACTGCTCTGCACCTTCCTGAGAAGTTGCAACGGCGTGTTGAGAGTCAAACACAGGAGCCATGCTACACCTGTGAGAACCTGTCCCCACTGCTCCAGGGCCTCCTGGGAGCAGCATCCTTCCAGAGAACTGTCAGGGATACCACATGTAAAAGCCAGTCTGATGCCTCTGCATGCATATAGCAATTTGAATGCCACTATATTAAATTCCCCCGAGAGAGGCAGTACCAACAGACATAAAGTAATTTATTGCCAAAGTGCATTTCCATCTGCCCTGTTGGGTTACCAATGGGACCCATGCCCTGCTCAGGGTGCCAGCCCTCAGGAAATTGGATGGCCTAAAGGCACAGAAAGTAGTTGTGTTTTATCAAGATGCAGGTCTCGTCTCTGATGAAAAGCTCTTAATCACAGACAGAGTAGCACAGTACCCAACAGCATGTCATGACTTTTACATTCTCAAGAGCTCTGACTGCTAGGCAAGTTGCTTTTTTCTTTTTTTTTTCTTTTTCTTTAATAATTATTATCTGTGATAATTACAGGGGACAGTCTCCTCCTAATAGATTTGTTGCAGGAGATGGCTCTTATCCCCATAGAACACATTGCTTAGTGACTCCTGTGCCGAATACCCAGACTCTCTCAGAGGAAAAAGTATAATGCTGCCCATCAAGCCACCAGATCCATCATCAAATGAACTTTGAAAACGAGAGTCAGGTGCCCAGATAGATCTGGTGGCACATCACTACACAGCCCCCAAAAAGAGAAATATGAGGGATGATCCTGGCAACATTACTTATTGTACGACATAGCCAAGACACGTGGATTAGCTCCACCGAGGGTCTTAGGAAGTGAGCTGGTGAGACCCACAGAGGATAAGAATGGTCATGATCCAGTACAGGCTATACCCCAACACCTCAGGCTGGCATGCCAGAAACACCAGGCAAAGACTGATCGAACACAGTTTGGGAGGCGAGTATTGCCAAGACCTCTATACTTACCACCAAGTCCCGCGTGCTTGCTCAAAGGGGGTGGGATAATGGAGAAAGAAAACTCAAAAAACAGCTGCCTCAAGAAATGACTTGTATTTGTAAGAAAAGCAATGAATGCCTGGCACAGAGTAAAAAAATGCTCATATGAAGTTAAAGTGAAAGAACAGAGGCAAATGTTCTTCAAATACCAGCAGCACACATCGTTAACAGTGCAAATATAAACTACAAAATGTTAGACTAATCTAGTCAGCCAGAATACAATGTTAGCCAATGTAGGAAATGGTTGAACTCTGCCACCAATGGCCTTATGGCTAAGAATTAAAAGGACAGGCACATTAAAAAAAACCTCTAAAAATCCTATGGAGTGGTTATTTTTTCTTCCCTCCCCCTTTTGCCTGGCGTGGAGGCATGGGCAGCGAGGCCCTCTCGGTTATGGCTCTCTGCAGCCGGCCACTGCGACAAGGCAGGGTGGCCTGCGGCGGGTCGCGAGAGTCGCTCGTCCCTTCGGCCCCTGGTAAGCACACAGTGGAGGATGCCACTGCGTCCTCACCAGTCCATGTCGAGGCACACGTCAACTCGACATGGGGGGTGGCTCTTTGGGAGATGCGCGTTTCGAGGACCTGTGTCCTCGGCTGCTTGAGGAAAGCTAAAATCTCTGACAGGTAGTTATGGATGGCTCTTGTGGAGGTAGCCACAATGCCCAGCTGCAGCTCCATACGGCCCATGGACTGGGACATGAGACCCATGGACTGTGCATGCTCCCTCTTGATATTTTCCAGCAGCTGCACAATCCTACTGTTGGTTTCCATCAACAGCTTCT